GGAAAATTATTTCAGTCTAAAACGAAAATGAGCCAAAAAAATATTAACACTCTTTATTGGCCGGTTTTAAACAAGGCAAAGAAATGAAATGAATACAATTCATTGAATTTAATTCTGTGAGAAATTTAATTCTGTGAGACAAATTGATCGATGGGAAAATTCAAATTTATGAAATTTCCTGAATTGTCCTAAATTTCTGAATTGAATTTTCCCTTTCCTGAATTGAATTTCCTGAATTATATTTCAAATGATGAAAATTCATCAATATCGAATGAATGAAATTAGCAGTTTTACTCATTCCTTATTATTTATTCCATCAAATTTTTCATCACTTCAATGAGTGTTTGAAAAAAAAAAAGAACGGAAAAACAAGTACCAGAATTTAATAATATGCAAATTTTTCCCATTCTTTTGATTGATTTGTTAAATTAAAAAAAAACTTTGAATTTAGCTATGCTAATTTATCTTAAAAATTTGAACATTCACATCCGTTGAATAATTTGAAAGTAAAAAATTAATAGGCGGAGTTTAACATAGGAGGAGGAATTATTGAAAAATTGTTGTTTTAAATGATTGGCTTAAATAAAATTTTATTTTAGTTTTAATTCCAATGTTACTAATAGATGGATAGTAGTTGAATGTTTTAGCACAAATATGTAATAATTTCATTTATGATCATTTACAAAATGATATTTGTTAAGAATGGATGAATCAGCTAATTTCAAAATTTTCAAATTAATTTTGAATTTATTATTTTTGTATTTCGCTTCTTATTTTTTCTTAAATGAAAGAAATTTGAAATCCTCGAAAAGTTATTGAATGAAATAATATTAAACCTCCTAAAATTAATTTCATTCTCTTTGTGATTAATTGTTAATTTTCTTATCCGATAATCATCATCAAATGTTTTTAATTTTACTAAAATTTCTGATTAATTAGCACAATTTAATGAATGTTTGAAATATTTTGCAACGATTTTAAATTTTATAGTATATTTGATAGTTATAACATTTATAAATTCATTTTGTATAGTATAACCGATATGTGATATTCGTTAATGAATATTCGATATCCGATAATTATTAACATATTCCAATATTCATTTTATGGCAAAAGTTTGATTTTTTTGTTCTTCCTTTCCTAAAATGACACATTTTTAAATGATCTCTGTAATATTTTATTTTTATTCTGCAGATAAAAAGGAAAAGGGAAAAAAAAGAAATTTAATTAATTTCCTTTTTTTAAAAAAAAGAAATTAATTAAGTTTTCTTTTTTTTCCTTAATTCTTTAATAAAATACTTTTATGGCTTTAATGCTTGAAAATTATCTTTCAATACTTTTTACAAATCATTTCTTTTTTTTTAAATATGTCAAAATTCAAATATATAATCGAAATAGAAATTTAATTATAACATTCAACGATTCAATGAGTGGAGATCTTTCTTTTTTTGCCCAACTGATAAATCATTTCCATTTTATCATAGTATTTTATCAGTTGGACTATTTATTTCCTTTTTGTTTTTATTTTTTGCCTTTTTTTTTCTTAAACCAAATTTGAAACAAAATTCTATTCATGTCTTTTTTTTATTAAAATTTGAATAATGCTATTGTTTCCTTAATTAAAATTTAACTGTTACTATAGAAACTTAATTAATTTCTATTTATTGAAATCATTTATTTCTTGCTTACTTCCTTTTACTGGCCGTTTTTTTTCTAATGAAGTTTTTAAATATGCTTAATTTGACCTTTCACTTCAGATAACTATCGGGAAAAAAAATATGCGAGAAAAGGATAACAAATAGTTGTTGTAATTCAGTCTGCAAATATGCAAATGAACTGATAAGATATTGCTTATCCATTCTTCACTTATTTCATATTTTTTTTATCAGTAAAACAATGACAATGATAAAATTGCAATGAGTTCATGCATGAAATTATTACATTTAAAGTTTAAATGTCATTTCAAAAATTAAAATTCAAAAATAAGAATTTATTTTTGATCAACTGATATTTGACATTTCCATATGTGGAGAAATTTCTCCATCATATTATTAATAATCGTACCAGCATGTTGATAATCATGCTGATATGATGATAATCATACTGTAAGTTTAGTTTAGAAAAGAGAGAGAAGAGAAGAAAAAAAGAAGAAAAAATTATTAAAAAAAAAAGAGTCGAAAAAATGATGAAAATTATGATCTTATTTGTTTTATCAATTTTTTTTTTGCCTACAATTTTTTATTTCTTTCTTAATGCTTAATTAATTACCTTTAATTTACCTATTAGAGAATTATCTTGCAAATTTTGAACATAAATATTAATTAATAATTTGAATAGTAAATTTAAGAATTTGTCAACTGTTCAAACAATAAGTTTTACTTTTGCAATTATAATTATTAAATTAATGATGACTTTTGTTCTTCTTTTTTTCTCTTTTTTTTTAGTAAAATATGATTTAATGATATTTTCATTTGTTGTATAACTCTTATTCAAAAAAACAAAAAAAAAAAAAAGAAAAACTTGCTATTGGATAGGATAGGATAATTATTATTTTCTTTTACTATTATTTTTCCATTTGTTTAGTTTCTAGCAAACTATGATTACGGTAACATAGCAAATTACTTCTTCAACCATGATTTATTAAAAGTTGATTCTCAAGGATAAAGTTTATCTAGCCAAAAAGTTGATTAATTTTTCGATCAATTTCAAATACTATTAAATTTGTAACAGATCATAGATCATGAATAAATAATCTTTGTTGCATAAAATAATCATCGGATTAATTAATTAGAGTAATATTGGAATATTTGTCATAAATTTACACTAATTGGAATAGTTTGAAATTGAAAATTAAAATGCACCACCGTGTAAAATGTTTGAGCTTAACATTTGATTTTCTTTTTTTTTTTGCGTATAAATATCTTTGCTAAACAGGAAAATTTATTATTTATACCAAAATTACTATTTAAAATTCATTTCAAATATTCCTTCTATTCCCTATTTGATCGTATTTTATCACATCTTTCTTTAATTTATAAATTTCTTGCATAGTTATTCATAATTTTAATCAGTTTTTCGCGTATTCAAGCGTTTTTTTTCATCTTTTCGTTTAGAAATTGAAATTATAAATATTATATTTTAAAATTAAAAGATTCAAATTGGTACAATTGTGGTGTACGGAATCGGAAATGAAGTTTAGCAGGTTGGAAATTATCATTGCTTTGTTAATTACTTCCGCAACTTCTGTGCTAACAACTTCAGTGGGTGCCAATCCATTATTAGATGTATTGGATTATGATGTATGTTAAACCTCTTCTTTGTCATTTTTATATTTAATTATTTGATTAAATATTAAGTAAGTAATAGGTAATGATTTCAGTTCTTATAATTAATATTATGATAGCAATGCAATCATACTTTGGTAAGTCAATTGATTATTATATTGTTTCTATTCAGTTTCTTCGCCATAATGATTATATCAATTAGTGCAAACGGAATTAAATGAAATGAAAATAAATTAAATTAAATTAAATTAGATTAAATTAAACTAAATTACAATGCCTTATTATGCTTGTTTTTATTTTGATGACGTAAAAAAAAGATGTCGAACAAATGAGTTAATTTTTAGTAAAATTACGATTTCATAAATTATTGACAATGCAAATTAAATGCTAAATGAATTATTATTGATCAAATGAATCAGTTTTAGCATTCATTTTTTTAATATTATCTATAAATTTGTCCAAAAAAAAAGATTATTTAATTAAATATCTCCTAAAGTTAATTGTCGAATGATAAGCGAATGATAAGACAATGGAAAGGAATGACCATTGATCAAATGAATCAGTTTTAGTATTCGTTTTTCTTAGATTATTTATAAATCTATCTGAAAAAAATGATTTTTTAATTAAATATTTCCTAAAATTAATTATCGAATGATAAGCAAATGATAAGATAAAGGAAGCTTTCGGAAAGGATGATTATTTAATTATTTTCTGAAGTTAATTGTCAAATGATATGCTTGATAAAAGAAATAAATGATAAACTTCGAATTCGTTTCGTTACATTTGTATTAACCTTAGGAGTAAATTGTTAACAATCAATTGATACTTATTTATAATTAAAAAAATTATTCTGTTACTGATCGAAATTTTTTACTTCAATTAATGAAGGAAAAAAAAAGTTTGTCTGTTTCTTACTGATATGAAAATTTAAAATGGCATAATGCTATTATAATTATTTGTTTCTTACTGATGGGAAAATTTATAATTATTATGATTATTAAAATATAAAATTTTAAAGTATAGGAATGAAATTAATTACTGAGACTATCATTAGAATGTTCTTAAGAAAAGTAATAGTGAATAAAATGATTTGACCAATATTAATCAATGATAAGTATTTGTCACAATATTATAATGCCATTTTAATTATTAAAATATAAAATTTATTTTTGTCGGTTTATATTATTTATTGAATTTAATAATTATGCAACAATTTTATATATTTATATATGTACATTAAAAAAAAAAAACTAAATTTGAATTAATTTTAAGCACAGTCTTTTGATTTTTATAAAACGAGCAATATTAGTATTTAGTATATCAAAGATAATTGTTGAAGAAATGAATAATGATAACTGATATTTCTTATATCAAAATATTGAAATTATTTGAAATTAAATTTAAATTTATTTTAGGATGATTTCATTAGAAATGTACGTACAGGAAATGTTAAATGGATGAGATTGGGGAAGAGATTACCTGATCATAAATGGATGCATTCTGGGCGCAAAAGGGCGCAAAATGTTAAATGGATGAAATTTGGAAAACAAAATGATAATTTCTATGATTATCAATGAATGATTATCAATGAACACTTTTAATTGTTTTTTATTTTTGGTATAATAGAAATATTCGCTTAGATTTTTTGATTTAATACAATATTTCATTGCAATTTAATTACTTTTTTATTAAAAATTAAATTTCCATTTTCGAAAGTTTTGAAAATTTAATTTTTTTTAAATTAAAATATCTTTTAGAAATATATTTAAATTGGTATTTTAATCCGTAACAATGATAACAATTATGTTTATTTATTTATTTATAGCATAATAATTGTTTTATTATGATATGTTGTCGTGATTTCATTGGTTTATTTAACTTTTTTTATTTTTTCTTTTTAAAAACCAATAAAAGTTTGAAATAGACAGAAAGCAAAGATGTTATTACAAGATATCCTTCATTCCTCATGGTGAATTAGAAGTAATTAAGAGCAATTAATATCGTCGCTTTAATTTACATAAAATGAGAAGTTAACATGGATCGAATTTTTAAGCGTTTCAATTTGTAAATCAAACAAATTTAACTTTCATATCCTTAGCTAGTTGTGTTTTCCATTTGAAATAATTGATATATGAAATTAAGTTAAACGATTATGCAAATCACCTTTGCATTATAAACTCAGTGTGGAAAAAAAAAGGGAAAGGAATTGGGATGATAATTTAATTAAAATTGGGGAAGAAATTGGAATGATAATTTAATTAAAATTTTTAAAATTAAAATTTAAAAGAATTTAATTAAAACTTCAATGATTAAAATTCCATTACAGTATGTATCATCAATATCATTAACTATAACTTTAGTAAACTTTTGTTGAGAAAGAAACCAAAATATTTTTAATATCAAAATAATGTTAATATTGTATAAATATATAATTTAGATCATCACGTAAAATGTTGTAAACTAATTTATGTTGATTATCAAGTTTGTGGTCAATGTCGGCATATTATAAAGGATTTCAGGGGTCATAAAGGAGAGTCAATCTGTCCTAACTTCTTAAACAAACTTTCATTATATAAGAGATATGAACTATAAGGGATTTCAATGTGTTTCTGGTGGATATCGATGTCCCCTAAAATAGCACTGCAGTGTGTTTCTTGATATTGATGTCTCCTGAATTAGCAATGCACAACAAAATCTCACGAACTATTCCTACAAGAACTTCAAAACCCAGGTAATCGAAACAGATGATCGACCTCGAACTATTACCTAAGAACTTCAAGCCCAGGTAATTGTGACAAATGATTGACTTCGAACTATTTCCTGGAAACTTCAAATCCAGGTAATCGAGATAGATGATCGATACCAATTTGTTATTCGGTGACACTTTTTATCGCTTCTACTTGTATTAGGAAAATAAATATTTCAAAGTTTGCAAGCTTTTCGCATAATCAAATCGTAGTTGCCAAACGAGAAAACTTTTACGACAACTTTTAAATTTCGAAAATTAATTAACTGAAAATGAAATTATCTGAAGAAAGTATTAATGCATAACTAATATATAGCTGAATTCCAGTTATAATTTTAATTATTTTTATCAATACAGATATAATAATATTATTTTTGCATACCATTACATATACAAGATGTCAGGAAAAAGCAAATATATTAACTTTTGAATCTTGTAAAGGTCAACCATGTTACCGTTTACGCCTTGTCAAATACTGTAAAAGTCAGGTATGCTGTTGTATAGTACTGTAACAATATTATATACAATATTAACAATACACTGTAATAATATGTTTTATAATGCTGTTAATATACCTGCCGCTATTTATTACTTTAATACGCTTTTGTTCAAATGTTGCAAAGGTCATCTTAGAGTTAATCGGTTTCATCTCATGGATTACTGTAAACAAATTTTTTCTATAAAAGCTCTAAAATCGGGAAATCGTACCTTCGTATAACGGTATCTTCTTCCGACATCGTCAATCATCTAATCATCCCGACTACCGTATAATTCAAATTGTTTGAATTTGTGGCTGAACTGCTATTATATATTTACTATAAATAAACTTTGAATTGCTCATTATACAAATCAATTTATCTTTCACCAATATTGATGATAAGATAAGATAAAAGAGTTCCAGAAAAACTAAGCTATTAGTAGAATAAATAACGGACAATATTCTTATTCAAATTTATATAATATCAAAATATTTCATGTTAAGTAACAAATGAAGGATAGTTCATAGGAAGAAATTAATCATATCATTAACGTATTTACTAAAAAGAAAAATTATTGCATAGTGTATGAAATTGTTAAGGTATAAATTAACGATTAATTAATTAGTTTTGATTGAAAAGATCTAAGAAAAAAAGAAGAAAAAATTGTTGATATTTTAAAAAGTTTTATCCACTTAGATTATTTTGTCACATCTGTATTTTTGCGCCCCGCCCATTTGTCGCATTGTGCGGAAAAATGATTGTAAAAAGAGCTAAGATGATATTATAAATTCTTCAAGTTAATTGTATTCTTTCTAATTCTTATTCTTACTTTCTAGAATTTACCAGTTTTTCGTTTTCCTTCCTAATCTTTTCTCTTTCAAAAATTTGGTCATTAACAATTTTTATTTATCTTATAATATTTTCGTTTATAAATTACGAAATTTGCATATAGATTGTATCTACTCTTGAGTTAATTTATCATAGTGTAAAATTCATTCACCCTTTTATCACTAACTTATCACTTAGTGCTATTGATACTTTCCTGATTTCTTTTCTTTTTCCTTTTGTTACATAAATATTAGTGTAATTATATGGTTTGTAGGTTCTCTTATATATAGTGGAATTTCGGGACATTACAGGGTTACCGTTGTAATGACTTCCACTCCGGAGAATATTTTAGCATGAATACTCAAAGGTGTATTTGTTGCGTTCATCAAAGTTTATCACTAAAATGATGATCAATCGATTTGTATCTGATTATAACTATTATCACACTAGGTTTATAAGTCTTAATGATCTGATATTCTTTGCCGTTCTTCTAAGAATAAATCAAGTCTTCCTCACTTCATCCGTTGCTGAAATTAACAATTGTATTACTTTTTTTTACAACATTCAAAGCAGATTTTCAACAATTCGAAAAGATTTCAAATTTCATTGAAATTTATCATTTCGTTTTTGTCGGGTTAAGGAATCGAGGAAGGATAAAGAATCATTGAAACAAAGAGAATTAAGATTTATTACAGATGATATTGAATTGGATGAAATTTTTCTTGTGTGATAAAATTTTCGATTTTGATTTAATCTTTCAAAATTTCAGATTTATTGCGTAATATATAAATGGGCCACGCATTATCATATGTTATTCATCACTGATCAGTCATAAAAATTTATGATAGTGAATCGATATCAGAATGATTATACGTTTGTAGTTTGCAAAGAGGAATGCTTGATTTGTTCCAGGAATGTAAAAGTTTAATCAGAGATAGAGGAATCGAAGTGTGATAAAGGAGATTTAGTGATTGGTTGATTGATAGATCGAAAAGTAACGTTGATTAGAAATTGGCAATATATTGAATAGTATCATTTTTCTAAAGATAGCAAATTTTAGGAAAGGTATAGAAAAATTATGTGTTAGTGGCAAGTTAAAAATCAAATAATATTGATGTTTTGCAGTTTTTTTTTTTGATAAAGATTAAAAGATAGAAGTTGAAGTTTTATTATGAGAGAGACAGGATTTGAGAGATAATTAGTGATGTGTGATGCATGATAAATATGACATAGATTACGAATAAGTGATTACATAATAAATATGTTTCATGTCCCAAGGAGGATTCATAATTTGAGTGATGATTAATTATTTGCTTAGCATTTTTTCTTTAACTTCATAAATTACTGTAAAATTAAACACTTTTCGAAGGATAAATAGGTTCAGAAAGAGGGTTTTAATGGGTTTTGCATTGCTTTATCGATTGGAATGAATGTTTTTTTTTTTGATCATGTGACTTGCATATTATTATCAATGTGTCACACATTGCGAACAGCAAGATGGAATTTGTCGCAGTAATTTAAAGTATCAATTATACTGAATTGAGCGATGTTGTATCTTCTTCCTGGTATTGTCAAGTAATCTATCAGATTTTCTTATTTTATTCAGTTCTAGCGAATCTGTAATTATATTGGCTTGCATGCATAAAGTGAAGATTTTATCGTTTTTTTTCTTTTAAAATTTCTTGAAATATTTGAATTGATTTTTTCAGACTCTTCCTGGTGCTTTCTATATTTGAGTGTACGGAAGATGAATACTGCCTAAAGCGGAAATGTCAACATTACAAGACTTGAAGATTCGCATCGTTGCTGTGATTGGTTCAGAAAAGAATGGATGCACTGGAAATGATTTGATTCGGATATATAAGTATTTTTTTAACTTTTTTTTGAAAAAGAAGTTGCTTAGATTAAAGTCAGAAATATTAAGGTTTTGGTTACCTGCAACATAATTACTGAAACAAGCAGTAAATATTTGTTTTAACTGTCTTTTCCATTAATGCAAATGAGAAATATCAAGCTTAATTTGTAACTCTAATTTGAGTAGGAATCCTACCACTTGTTTTAAAACAACTGGTAGGATTCTTACTCAAGTTAGATTCAATTGTTCATACATACACATGCATATACATACATATATATATATACATATATATATATATATATATATATATATATACAATACGGATACTTCAAATAAATATTTGTAAAAGTTTTTTGATAAGTGAAAGTAGAATTAAGAATACTGAATTACTCGTTGCAATCATAATTTTTTTGCTCTATGGCTTTGTATAATCACTTTTTTTTCATAGATTATTTGTGGTTCTTTGCTGATTATATAATTTTTATACTTTCTGTTCGTTTAATTTTTTAGACGAGTCTTTCTCTTTTTAAAAGCATTTATTGTGTCTGTAAGCTGAAATAAATCGGGATTTTTTCAGGGATATATATGGCAAAGATTTGCATCCAAATGAATATGGCTTTAAGGATCTGAATTCTCTTCTTGTTTCATCAACTATGCAAGGGGAAGGTGGAATTATATATAAAAATGGGCGATATTTCGCAGCTGGTGATAAAAATACTATAAAAATGCTGGATCTTGTTCGTCATACAAGATCTCGAAATTCTAAAGCACGGCGAAAATTTAATGCTGTGACATCTGTTAAAGGTATGTGACATTTTTCTTTCTTTTTGCTTTTTTTCATTTTTTATTTAATCTGTTTTATCAATCTCCGATTTCAAATTATAGCTGAAGGGGAAGCCATTATCATTATTCTGCATGGAAGAAAGTTTCGGTTATACAACATGATTGTAAAGAACTGAATTTTTCTTTTTTTTTCAAAGCAAGAGCTTTGCTTTTCGAGCTTTTTTCACAATTAATCATATTATTCCAACTCCGTTACATTTTTTTTGGAATTTCAGTGGCAATAACAGATTATGATATGATATCTTTATGAAGTAATTTAGGAGGATCCAGTTCGGTGAGTACACCAACTCATTTTCACTCTATTAAAGCTGAAAATATGAAATTGCCTGAAAGGTCTCAGATGGTGAAAGAAGCTATTGCCATAAAACAAGTAACAACACAACCTCAACCAAATTCGGACAAGGTTTCAAATATTGGGCAACAAACGAATCCTAAAGCAAAATTTTGTGCAAGGTCCACAGTTAATTAACCATCACTGGTTAACAAGTCATATTTGTGAATATTGAGCCTCCTATCTGTGTGGAGCTTGCTTCCTATACTTGGTTGTAACTGATCAGATGATTTGTTGCATCAGCTTGTTGATAGCAAAACTAATGTATTTTCAATCAGGTGATCGGCAAAAGTGTTTTGTCCGTTAAAGGATACATCTGTTAGGCCTTTTAGTATTGGGTAGACTCTCGACAGTCAGTTGGCCAGCACCACATCTCACTGCCAGGTCCGGAAAGCGAGTTATCCTATCAGTTCTATTGCATTTATTTAGTAGTTTGACAGAGTATTGTTTAGGCGTATGGGACCGTCCCATGTATTTGAAAACCAGCAATCACAACTTATTTCACCTATGCGAACTTCAGACAATAATCAATCTTTACCCATTCAACGAAATTACAATCATGATGACCATGCCGTCGCGTCAGTTTCAGGTCCCTTCATTTTAACATATCTAAACTGCTCTGTTTTATTAATTCTTTCAACTACTTCTTAGCGTTGTTAGAAAAGAATGTGTTATAAATTTGTTAAGATTCGAAAGGATATAAATTTATTTTTGATTCAATATTAAAACTAAAAACTTGGTAGTTTTTGTTTATTAAATGTGGTGTAAAAAAGAAATGAAAAAGATTCATTCCGTTGTTTTCTACGGTTTATTTCTTTTGCAACCAATTCCATTACCTTAATTTGAGATTTATTTCGAATATCTTCAGAAACCCAACGACTACCACAACCAAATATGATTGGAAAAAATGGAAGGATGATGTTTCAAAAGGTTCCTGTTTATCTCCGTATTATAATTTTCGATCTTTTAGTTTCCTGTAGAGCTTTTGTTTTCCGTTTCCTGTTTTTAATATTTCTTTATTTTCGCTTTGCATTGATATTAGATTGATATTAGTTTTATTGTTACTCATAGCACATTTCTACTGAATGAGAGGAAATCAAAAAATCCATTACTGATATTTAGAATGCATTTTCTGATGATATCGCTATAATTTGACGAAAAGGATTACACACAGCTTTTTGAAAGTAACAGGCTATCAAAGTATCCGTTTAATCCAGTGCTTTTCGTGATTAGGTCACCTGACTTGATTTGTGCCGAAGTTACTATGTTTCTTAATCATTTAAAAGTTTCCGAGAATAATTTAATATGATTTTCTGTCCCTAGCCGTCATCACACTCACCACAATAAGACATCGAAGATGGATTTCGTTCGAATTCAACAATTACGAAGTGAAGATTTAATTACTTTCATACTTGAGCTTAAAATTTTGATTTCTGATGCTTAAATTTACTTAGAGAACAAATAATTTTTTTTTATTTTAGGGTAGAAAACGATTAGTAAAAATTATTGAGCAGCATGGCGGTCAAATGAATTTTTCTGAACTGAGCAATTCATACCTGCACTTTTTTGGTGTTCCACTTAACAGTGCTGAGGTTGGCATTTTTATTCTTTAATACGAACAGTTTCTAGCTTGGCCAGGTATTCGGTATAGAATTTGGAACAACTTTCATATCGAATGAGCTGGTTTATATAACTCAACTATTTCTTTCTTTTTCCAGATCTGCCGTTTATTTAATGCCAATGAAAAAGAAATTCACGATCTCTATATGTTTCTCAAAAGTTATTTATATAACTATGTTGTGGTGACAAAACATGCAGATGATCTTTTGCTTACGGTCATTGACGACGAGGATGATATTGATGGTCATTATACAGCTCCTTCAATTTTTAATCTAACAATACCTAATTTGTGACATGAAAATCGATACTGGAACATATGAAATGCTAGGAATAAATTAATGAATAGGAAAATTAGTCATTTACATTAAATGAGGAATATTTACCTGAAACATGAGATTTGAATAGTTTTGCGTAGATTGTACTTATACTACATTGCAATGAATGAAGAAGATATATGTAATCTCCTACGGTGCTGAATACGAAATCTGAAAAAAATTTGTTAATGATTGCTAAAATCATACAATTCGCAACCGTAACATTCTGCAATTAAAAGCTTATCATTTTTAGTTTGGATTCCTTGCTAAGGCGTTATGTAAAAAAAATATTTCTGGTATATGCATATCTGAGCTACGTTTGTACTAATTTTTCTTGTAGAATTCGAAAAACTCAGTATTATCGATACAATGACTCAAAATTCAGTGCTACCTACGGTAAATGTTTCATTTTTTTTCATTTATCACTTCCTCCTTTTCTCTCTGTTTCACTCTCCGCCTCATGTTTTCATCATGAAATTTCATGAGTGTAACGCATCCTGGACCTACGATGGAGTTAAACTATTGACGAGGATAGCTTTATATAACTTAATTAACTTTTCTACTGCTAAATATTTGTCAGATGTGAGGTAGTTTCTTCTCGGAGATAGTCTTGTTGGAATGTTCCTGTGCATTTCGCTCTTCTGTTTTCTCGTTAATTACGATGCATACGGATACTTTTCATAGTTCAGCTCTAAATACGGAATTGAGTTTCAGGATCAACCTATCAATCCTATTACTTTTACGTCAGCAAAAACTGAAGCTACTGCTATTAGTTGCCCTCTGGATTTACAACCTTCTGTGCTAGCTGTTAGCTGTTTTAATCATTGTGAAGTTATTGATGTTTGAAGAAAATTTAAATCATGCATAATCTGATCAATTAACCATGGGTGGTTCGATGAGCGCATTGTTAATTAGATAGAATATGAATAGTTGGAAAATGGACATTCTTGGAAAGCTTGAGCAAATGATTAAGGACATTAAATTAACTTTTCAATTTATATTTCTCAAATTAGAAAACATATATAAAGCTCGAAAAGCTTTGCGCTCCAAAGAATTTTTATGACCCAAATATGAATTTGCGTTTGTTACATTTATCCAGTTTGAATTTGGCAATATCTAAGATCTTTTGTTCTTTAATACTGTCTGGTAATTTTATACGCGTCTTTTAGGCGGGTGATCGACATGAATACCGTGAAGGATCAGCATTGGCTTCAGCGATAAGGTCGAGAGATGATTATTTGCCATATAAGGTTTTAGCTGATAAAGTGCTCTCTTTTGTCCGAGCGAAAGGTTCTTTCAAGGTATTTTTCATTCGTTAGTGTTAATGGTAGGAATGATTTTTTCTATTTCAAGAAATAACCTTGTATAGACAAAAAAAAAGATGGACCAGCTCAATTACGTTTGAGATTTATTTTCTCACTTTTCTAACATATATGCATTGTATATTCTCTAGTTTTAGGTCTCTGATTTACCGAAGATTTTTTATGAAGAGGATGGCCGACACATTGATCCTAAGAATTATCCGGAAGGCACATGGGAGAATATCATACGAAAATCACTTTTAGTCAGTAGACATTCAGAACTCACGCTTCAAGATGGTGTTAGTTACTTTCATTACTTTGAAATTTGGTGTTCAAGAATACTTTTTTTTTGTCTTTAAAGCTGAAGTCATTTTTTATTAATTTAATCCAGCTTGTTAAGTCTTGGAAAAAATTTTTATAGTTCGGTGGAATTTTAGATACAGCTTTCGCAAAAGTTCTTTTATTCGTGTCATTTATCTAGGTTTTATGGCCATTTTAGGTGCTCGTTCTCCGAAAAGACTTCCAGAAGTCAGCTTTCCCATTTGCTAACTCACCGAATAATTTGACAAATACTCAAAATGAAAACGAACGGTCGATACCTCTAAATTCTAATGATAGCAATGTACCAGCAGCTATAGTTGGTCTTCTTTATTTTCTGAACTTTACTTGGTTTTATTTCTTTATTTTTGATTTTTTTTTCGGAAAAATTTCTTTTTCTAAGTCTAAAAATTAAAAAAATTTCTCTTTGCAGATCTATGATCTGTTGGTGGAAGCAGGAAGACCTCTACATCAAAAAGAATTACTCGAAAAACTGTGTGCAAGAGGCATCGAAGTGAACGTTTGTCAGCTTACTGTTAGGCTGATAACGAAATTCAAAGATGTCTTTTGTTGCAAATTTGATGTGGCAGGTACTGTAAGCGTGAGTATTTCCACATAATGGAGATAATGTAAGGACTTGAAACTGCAGAAAATCAGATGTCTTATATGAGAAAAATTGAAATAAGTTGCGAAATTAAGTATTAATAGGTGGGCAAGTTTTTGAAGCATATATTCATTGTTTACGACAAATGATTTAAAATGAGTTAAAACAGAAATTGAATGGTTTTAGTCCTTTTTTTTATTTTATTACGAGCAATATCACGATGGGGACTTAAATCTTTTCTTTGAAATGGTAATATGTTTGTGTTTTTCAACTAGGATTTTTGATATCGTTAGCACGTAATGCCAAAAGACCTGAGGAACCAACCGTATCGTCTTGTTTACCATTGTTTACCGAATCAGTCAAGATAGACACTCATGTTATGTCGGATTATTGTTCAACTACCGAATCAGCCGGCAATATTTTCAAACCAGTTAGTTTTATCTACAGCCTTTCTTATACGGCATGCGGTTTGCAAAACCTGTGTCGTTTTCTATATTTGAACTGCCGTTTTTCTTTTTTTTTCTGAAATAGCTTCAGTTACATGACATGAATGCAGTGCGTAAAATAATTGTGAAATTTTAAATTTAATCCCAGATAGCTATGGATCCATTGTTGTACATTTCTTGATCATCTTGTCACTGAGTTCCGTGCTATCCACCTAATAATTGTCAAATTGGGCTTAATCATCTTCTGGGGAGGAACTGAAGTTTGTCTCATTTTATTTATATAATTCACTGCCATTACCTGTCCCATGAATATAAAATATTTAAAATGGTTTCCTTTTTTTTTTTTGATGTATCAAACTAGATAACCCCTGGAAAGAATGACAAAATATGGGAAAAAGCAGATTGTGATTTTTGTTTGTTTTATTTTAACGACTATTTTCTTCTTTTATTCAGATTTTATTGGTAAATATTGTACTGATTGACGAACCACCTAACAAGTTTCGAATTCAGGCATCTTTTAGACTCCGTTCTTTCGAACGCGCATATATTTCATTCGAAAAGAAGATGTGGTAAGTACTATACTGTAAGAATTATGCATAAATTTGTTGTGATTTTTAAATCTACATTTGAACTTCTGCTTAAAATGAAGTGGTTCGAGAAAGATGGATGGATTTTGATTAATATAATAAGCTTCATGATTTGAAATAAAAATTTGTATAATGTTTACGCTCGTATTTTTTAGCCTTCATTATCTATATTATGGTCAGGAAAAGGATTATTGGGTAGAGAAACCCATAAAAAATTGTAATTATGCTTTCCACGATACCAAAGATAATCAAGTTTATCGAGTTCAATGCATAGGTAGTGATATTCATGATGGCGTTGTGCCCGTTTATTTCATTGATCAGATGCGCTATCAGGATGCACCAGTTAGCCAACTTAGAAAGGTATGAAATAGTTTTTTCGAAATTTAGGGGTGAAACTGCAATAAACAGATTTTGCGAAATAATGAGGTATCACAAGTGCTTGCTTGAAGTCTCATTTGGGGAATTTTTAAATTTTTTTTCCAAAAAACGTTTAAACTCATGAGTTTGCAGTGATCCTTCTAGTCATCCAATTTATGGTTCATTTGTTTACATAATTTTAGTTGCGATTGTTTAAGCTTAAACTGGAATTCTTTTGTGAATGTATAGAAATGGTTTGCTGAATACAAGACCATTTTCCCAATATGGAGTAGTTTTCTGAATTAAACTAAATGGAATATTTGTAGCTAACACGTGATTATACAAGGCCATCATACGGTGTGATAGCAAAAACTGCACCATTTATGGTTGTACCTGGAAAAGAGGTGGGAAGTTTTAAATTGTATTTATACTTTATGCTTTATTTGTGATTCTTGGTGAAGATTTGCTTTCTGAAATGAAACAGTTTTATATTTCATTGAGCAATCGAAGGGAAGAATTTTACGATTTGCTTTTTTCAAATGTCAGTGCATAATTCTGTTCAGTGTTATTTAGTCCTCAAATTGTATCGATTCTCAACTTTCTGAAGGATGCTAATTCCAAGCAAGTTTTGTTACTTTAGAATGAATTCGATGAATATTTCACTGTGGTTTGTTCAAAGCTTCTTGGAAATGCCACGCAGGATATCCAGGCCGACGTGGTTTCTGAGGTGAACTCTCAGCCTAATTTCTTGCCAAAATCACTGGTGATTGTCTCTGGAACTAGGAGTATCTTTTAATTCTTAAGAATTGAATTAAAAAATCGAATTTGTTGTATGCCCCCATGAAGCATTTCAATTCCTTAGTTTATTTCTAAATTCCTAAAATTCGTTCATTTCCCTTTTAGCCATCAAAAAATCTGTTCGAACTGAAGCAACTATATAGCGAGACACGCGATTTAAATGTACCGGCAACATTTGTGCGACAAAAATTGATTCAGATGTTCTCTTCGAGTATTTAACTAAGGATATGGTTATTGATAATGATATATAATAGAAGTAATTATAATTTTTAAAAATCTGCATACGAATAGTATTACAGCAGTTACTAAAAGTGTTTGGAAACAATAAAAGTAGAGTTAAATAACTTGGAGTGGCAATCAGATGTCTTATCAAATCGATTTAAGAATTGCATGTAATGGTATCGAATTATATATTCATGTAAATTATTCCACTGTATTTTTAGTCACATATAGAATACATCTGTTTCCAATTGGACTAAAAACAAAATTGGTAGATATGCATGTAATATCAAGTTAGTCATTTCTTTGAATGCCATCGACCTGCTTAAACATTAGTTTGATGTCATTCAGTCATTTAATGTGTTTCTCTTTTCAATAACTCTATTTAATTTTACAATTCCATCCAAAATATGCTCTTATGCGTTACATTTTGTTTTCAGTTTTGAATTTGAAAATGTATGGAAAACGTTGGAAAATTGTAAATTATTTATTGCCGTTTTGGAGCTGTTGCGAATTCCAATTTCGCGAAAGACCAAAATAAAAAATTATCTATGCAATCATCACTCATGTCTTAGATCTTTGTTTTAAATCACATCTGTTGAAATATTTGAGCAAAACCACTCCCACTTTTTCCGTATATAAGCTGTATTGAGTGTTGTCCAGGGAGCTTTACAGGGACCAGTTTTTCATTACGCTCAAGCAATGTGGTTGATTCTCTTTTTTTTCATTTCATCATTATCAGCAGTATCGTATCGTTTTTGTGACCCTTACCACTTACAAGTAAATAAGTTAACTCTCCCGCTTTGTCTACAACGTTACGACACACACACATCATC